AATTATTTTATTTACTAATTATTTTTTTATTTAACTAGTCTAGTATTAACTTTCTATTAACTTTTTAAGTTGTTTCCCATTTGTCTTGTCGGTTAATGTTCCGTCTATGAACCAACGGATATCCAGATGGGCATCCATGTGGCACCAAATTAGTTCCACGTTGGCACCGCCGGTTCAACCAAATAAATATTATGGAATATAAACTTTCAATTATTAAAATTATTTTTTTAATCAACTAAACTTAAAGTCATGAAAAAAGTGGTCCCATCTAACTTTTTTAATAATTAAACCCTACCTTAAACTTTCTTTTTAAGGTTTGAATTATTATTATTATTTTAAATAATTTCACAAAAAATCGAATTTCAATGATTGTTCAAAAGAAAAAGATACATTTAAACATAATTTAATATCATTAGATTTGAAAGACCAAATGCAAGATTTGAATTATTTATACTTAGTTTCGCATGAGATTTTAATTAATTCAATTATATTTATAATTGCTAATTAAATTAAATTTATAAATTTTAAAATGATTCTCATAAAAAAATAAGGAACTGAAAAAGAAAAAAGAAGAAAGAGACCAGAAGGACGTAAAAAATTATTAAAAGCTTACATTTCAAAACATTAATTATTTGGTCACGCAGCATCCATGTGGTTGCCACTGGTGCCAGTATGTACTTCCGTCAGTCCCCTGCTCATCATTTTAATTTTTTTTTTTGAAAATAGGTAATGAACTCATCATTTTAATTGAGTAGAGTAATGTGATATAATTTTAAAAAATATATATATTTTTTATCTTAAACTTTTAAAAATCAGACTGATATCTCTACTGCTGATCCTGACATTAAACTAAGATAACATATTTTCATCTTAAACCTTAAAAATGTAAAAAGCTAGATGATAAGAGTCTTGCAGGGTCAAGAAAATATGTGGTGTGATTGTTGACTGGGTCCTACAATCCTAACCAACGAGGAAGATTGTTAGAAAAGGTTAAAGAAAGATGGTCATAAAAAAACTCACAACTTTTTCTCTCTTCCTTTATAATAAAACCCCCCCTTCCCCAATCCCAAATTCCCCCAATTCCCTGCACTAGACGATCACAGCCCACTGTTTCTTTCTTCGTTGCGTGTCTTAGTTCTCTTCTCCCCATTTCTCTGTCTGTCCTTTTCTTTCTGTCCTTGTTTGGTTTACAGGGACAGCACTGCAAGAGAGAACTAGCTTGCAGGGATCATGGGAAGAGCTCCATGCTGTGACAAAGCTAACGTCAAGAGAGGACCTTGGTCCCCGGAAGAAGACGCCACCCTCAAACGCTACGTTGAGACCCATGGCATCGGCGGCAACTGGATTGCTTTTCCTCAAAAAGCAGGTATCTTTCTCACTTCACTTAAATTTTTGTTTTTTTTTTTTTGTTTTTTTTCTGCTATTTCTTCTTCTTCTTCTCCATAAACATTATACAATTTTCTAGGGCTTAAGCGATGTGGGAAGAGTTGTCGTTTACGGTGGCTGAACTACCTGAGACCAGATATCAAACATGGAGGCTTTACTGAAGAAGAAGACAACATCATTTGCTCTCTCTACAGTCAAATGGGAAGCAGGCAAGTTCATCTTTGCTTTCTCTCTTAATCTAATTGGAGTTTACATTTCTTCTCTCTTTTTCTTTTTTCTTTTTTTTTTAACAAATAATTTAAAATCTCAACTTGGGATTTTTGTTAGGTGGTCTCTCATTGCTTCACAACTACCGGGAAGAACAGACAACGACATCAAGAATTATTGGAACACCAAGTTGAAGAAGAAGCTATTTGCATCCAAAACAACCCTACCCCTCCAAAATACAACTCCCATTGCTGAACCTCCTCTTCTGTGTGTTCCCAAACCCGAACCCTTCAACAATTTCGATTATTCATCTCCACAATCCCACAATATTGTGAGTTCTGCAACATTGCCTGTGTTAACTGATACCGGTTGTGGAGTCCTGACTAATTTCAATGGACCTCAAAGCCTGCTCTTTTCTTCACCAGATGTCGGTCATGGTTCCCAATTCGTCCCCTCCTCGTCTTCCCAAAATGGTTTGGAAACCATGGCTGTCACCGCAAGTGGGAATGTGGAAGATGGTGGGATGTTACCGGATTTCGGGTTTGAGTTCCCTTATGATCTTGTCAATGGCCTCTGGACTAGCGCTACTCAAGATCACAAACCTGGTGGGATTTTCCCATGCTGACATGTATAAACCCACAAGATCAAGTGTTGCTAACACAGAACATGCATGTGAAAGAGGATATATATGATACTAATTTTCTCTTCACATGTAATCTTTTATGATTCAGACATTTGGGTGTATTTCTATGCAGATGAAACATAAATTAATTAAATGAAGAGCTTAGTTTAGTTGGTTATTTTGCCTCGTGTCTGTTTTGTTTAATGTGATGAAATTGTAATATTTATGTAAGAAGCTAAAGAGAGATGTTTTAGTACCTCTTCTTTTTTTTCATAAAATAATGTTTTAGTACTTCTGTTTGTGTAAACAGTTAAGGATGTCAGAGAAGTGGGGTCTTGGGTAATTTTGGTTTATTATAAGACGAGATGGGCATGAGTGTGGAGAGGGAGTTCCATCAGCATGTCTGCTTGTTTCTTGCAGTGTCAGTGGTCATGAAAGTTGCATGGGGGGGTTGGGGGTATGGCCTATTCAAACCTCATCATGCTCCTCAACTTCTACTCCAAAGTCCAAAACACAGATATAAAATCAGGTTCCCTCTGAAAAAGAATTGCCTTTGAAAGGTTATTGTATGTCACTTTTCTTTGGCTCTGCATTTCAGATGATATACATATTGGGTCAGTTTATGTCCTATTAAAACAAGCTAGTAACGAGAATTAAAAAATTTATAAAAAATTATCTTTTTTTAACTTTTTAAAAGTGACTCATAATTGACAAAGAAGAGTTAAAATCTTACAAAACAAGCCAACCTCTTGCAATAGTCATTGCTTTCCTGTGGTCAAATCTAGCATTAAAGAAATTTGGGTACTTGATAAAAAATTTTAAATTCTTGAAAAGTCATTTCGTTAATTAAATTTGGTCTCTTATGATCTATTCATATATATCCACTTTTTCTCCATTTTCTCGATCTTCTTTATTGCCAACTATAGTATTTGACTTGACTCAGGCCTTTTCCTAAGCCCCTCTCTCCTGTGGACATTTTTTCAAACACATCTTAGACATGATTTTGGCAAACCCTACCCACTAGTCTATTATTTGTGATTCATCATCCATTATTGTGTTGCCTGGATCAGAAACTGGTTAAGGAGTTCAAAACCTAGACAAGTTAATGCTCAATAGGGTTTTTTCTAAATAAATAAGTTTCAATTAAGCAAAGAGAAGCGGGGTCCTCCTTAAAGTTGGGCAGGCATTTTGTTCCCTCTAATGTTTGCATATTGCACTTTCAGACATTTCATCATAATGTTTTCTATCCATATCTTGGTGGCATTTTATGTAGAGATGAATATTCAGTTTTACAAGTATTTAAAACTAGCATCTCAATAGTAACAGAGACAGAAAGCAATCTTTTCCCACTGCCAGCCAAAGTTTCACACCCTATATACATTGAAGAAACTAATTAAAACCTAGAGAGGTATCTTTTGAAAATTTCTGAATTTATGGATTTTGAAACATGTAACTATCTTAGCAGATTCTCTTCCCAGATGATATGAACGTAAAGAAACAACAAAAGAAAGAGATAAAAAACACGTTCAGAAAAAAGAGAGGAATTGTTGACTTTTAGCACACAGCAACTTTGGCTTCATTTCCCCTTTTACCACATATGTACTCACAGATGCCAAAAGAAATACAACCATATGCACAACAGTCATGTATTTTTTAAAGAACAAGTCCAATCTATGATAATAAAATATCAAAGAGGAAAATTTTTTATGCGGACGGTGCTATTCATAATTGATGATTCCATCATGTTGTAAAGAAATATTCAAAGGTGTATGATAATTAAATTACGACCTCTGATCATTGGCACAAGTTTTCTCCTATATGGACAATCTCTCTTTGGTTTTTCTGTTCAAAGATGTTTCTAGTCAATTAATAAATAACGTTGTTAAATGCATCTGGACAATGTAAACCAAAGTTATGTATTATTCACATGTATAATACGATCTTAAAAAGATATTACGAAGAAAATGCAAGCTTTGTTTCTGTATGGTTGTACAGGGACCAGCAATGGTCCCCTCCTTACATATTGTTCCCACTTGAAAAGAGAATCTCAATATCTGTAGGGCCTTCTTGCTCTTATCGACAATTGACTAATTCACAAACAGTAACAGTTTACCATCATCATAATTTGTTCAGAAAATCCTCCCGTGCATGCATGTTCTTCCATGTCAGTCTTTAATTTTAAGATCCCGATTCTTGTTCAGGTCCATGGAATTTCTTGGTCGGGTAAAAAACTCCCCCTAGCTAGCTAGATACTAAGATTATTTCCCTTCCTCATAAAAATCAAGAGGGTTTTGAAGTTGAGGTTCTGAGTGAGGGTTATCTCATGCTGAGTATATAACCCAGCAACTCACCAATCAAATAAATAAAAGCTCTACTTAATGTTACTTTTATGTTTATATATGCAGATGATGGAGGACAAAAACACAATATGAACATTAAACAATTAATTCCAATTGCTTAATTAGAGACTTGAAGAACCTTTATGTAACTCAAGAGAATCCAAGATGAGACTGGAAATTTTCTTCTGTATAACCCACCAAGGTAGATTCAAGTATTCATGGGAGAAAGTTTAGTTAACTACTTAGTGCTAGCTACATACAGTGTATGCTACTGGTTTGAGCATGAGAGAGTCTTCAGTACCTCTCAAAATGTCATCTCTGCCTGTTCATCTTCCTCAGTTGTGTTACTCTCATCACCAGGATCTGCATGAGCTGGTTTCCTGCTTGTTAGGGCATGTGTTAGGGCTGCAGGGGCAGTTATCACAGGCTTGAGAATTTGTTCCTCCAAATTGGATTCTTCAAGTTCTTCAAGTTCAGCTTCCAATTCATCCTGTAGTACCGGAATCCCTCAACGAATTAATCAACTTTCCAATTGAAAATGTGAATTTGAAGTAAAAATTTGCAACAACAGTACTTCATCAAAATCAGTTGCTGCTCCGATTGGTGCTGACAATGCCGCCTGGATCTCTCTAATGTTCTCGGATTGCTGATGGATCTCATCCATGGTCTTGTCTATTTTATCAATATCCCTGTACAATAGTCCAATCAAATCCCAAAGGGTAGTTAATTCTGAAGAACTCAACTTAAATGTTTATAAATTAAGATGTATCTTACATTGCTTTGTTAGTGGCCTTCATTGCAGCTGCTTCATTCCTTAATGCATCAAGAGTTTCTGTTGTTGCTTTTGCACTTTCTATCATTACCATCTGATGTGTCAAACCCAAAAGGACATAAAATTTGAGCCAAGGTCTTCACCAAATCAAGCCCTGTCACTATCATGTAGTTAAGGAAACACAAAGAAGTACCTGATCATGAATGCGCAACTGGTTACTCCCAAGCAGCTCAATTTGTCGTTCCCACATCTTCTTCCTTTTCAAACATTTCATAGCCGCTGTGCAATTTCAACATGATAAATTGTTGAATACTTAATGAAACCAGAAAGACATACAAATATATGAAGACAAATGATCTCTAACTGAGTATCAAAATCTAAAAACTGAATTTCTGCTGGAGGGGTATACAAATATCAGTAACAAATTTTTCAAAAGATACACAATTGCAGTAGAACTACATTTGTATACTGTCTTTTTTTTTTTGGCCAACAAATTAACTTTTATTAAAGGGAGTACAAAGGGTACTTAAACCCGTTACAAGAGAAAAAACTTTGTTACCAGACTAAAGCCATTAATCCCATGTTAAATACATTTGTATACCATGTCCTCAACGAATTTCGAATCCATCATAAAACACCATGCAAGAAAACTGTTACACACATAGAACATCCAAAAGTTGATCATAGATAAACCAAGAAGTTAATAGGTAAAAACAACAGAACAACAAATGCATCGAATACGAGGAATTAACCTCATGTTGTTGGAAATTAAACACCCCTAATGATTCTTTTGACCATTGAATATTTCTATGTCTGTTGCAATTATACCTCCTCTGTTTCTTGCTTGAATAAATTCCCTAGCCCTTTTAACGTCACCCTCAGCCTTGGACACCAGGACTTTCTCCTTCTTCTCTAACACTTCAAGTGTCTGCAATTTATCAAATTAAGATTACCGAACATAATAAGAAATAATCAACGCAATTATGCCAAATAATAATTGATGAAGAACCAAGATCAATACAAATAGAATAAATTTTTCTACAAAAAATTAATGCCTCAGTTAACTTGTCTAGAGTGGTCAGACAATCGGGCTGGGGGTTAAATTTTCCGAGAATCTTACCAAACATGATTTTGGCTAGTGACGGGAAAATCACAATCGGCTTCTAAGGAACTGCAGAACGGAAAAAATGAGGGAAGAAAAAGTGAAAATGGCTGTAGGGTTTTAGAAATAAGCGAAATTCCTGGGGTTTTAGCTTATACAGGTTATCTTTTTCGGCGAGATGGAGGGAAGATTAACGCATCATTATTATTTTAATTTTATTTTAGCGTTGATAAGTTACACTATTTATTTATTTATTTATTATTATTATTATTTTTTTTTTCCCGTCCGGTATCTGGGCTTTACCTCGACTAATCCGGATCGACCGACGTCGCGCACCTGGAGATGGTGGTGAGTCTCCCAACGAAGGCTGCTGCGTTCACAAATTCTCGAACTTAAGACCTTACTTAAGCCGGAACAAGCTGCTTACCACTTGATCCAACCTTTCGTTGGTATTT